CCCTTGCACACTTTTCACTGTATTCAGGCTATACAGCGCGTCGCTTCCAGGGGACGCCCTAGCACTTACACAATGATCAAAAGGATTCATGTCATGATTTTTTCGACAAGTTTTACGCTGACTGTCGACTACCTAACGCAACCCTCTACTTTTCTCATCCGGGCTTGGGACCTGCAACGGCAGTGTTATTTTCAAAGAATCTCAAAAAAACTCAAAAAATCTCAAAGACCAACAAATCAATATTTTCAAAAATTTCAAATCAAACTCAAACTCAAGTGTTGACATCTGCTATGCTTCCAGAAGTTTGTAGGAAAGTAATACAACGTAAATCTGTACACACACACACACACACACACCAAAATAATCCCACAATTATTTGTGCGTCCAATCTAATCGCAAAGTATCGTATACCTTAATCCAAAATGGACTCTCATGTGGAAATTGTGATACAAAATTAATCCTAATTTAGTACTTAAGGTAGCATTTTGGATTACTTTTGTATGGTCGATGGAATATTTTGGAGTTTAAATATATATGTGTGTGTGTGTGCATGCACGTGTGTGTGGGGAATATTTATCATAATGTAGAAGGATTTTCTCATTATTATGAACTATTTGCTCATAAACCTTTTTTACAGTTTTCATATAAAGAGATTATTTGTTGTACAAAGAAGACAATTAATAACAATTCATTCTAATAGTCTCCTCTCTTTCTAACAATCAGAAACTTACCAACAATCAATGCCAACTGAGTTGGCGCCCACCTTATCTGCCTTCTGATCATCACCCACATGCACAACCTTACCAGCTTTAATACCAATATGATCTACAAAACATGACATCAAAGAAAATGAAGAAAGATAAATTAAAAGTTAATAGAATTGTCATCTTTCATGTGCAGCTAATAAGGAATCTTCAAGTTTTATGGAAAAATAATCGGCATGTTCAAGTGAAAAAAAATTAATTTATAACACCAAAAAAATTGAAATTGGCCACAAAATTTCATGTATTTTTTTAATTGTACTTTTAATTTATCATAAACTATTACAAGGAAAAAAGAAACCAAAGCTATCATACAATATTCAACATCTAAAAAAGAAATTGGATTGCCAACAATTGATCCAAGTTTATGATGATATGCAAAATTGTTTCGTAAAATTATAATTTTATTGAGCAAAAGATAAGTTCTCAAGTACCTAAAGCAGTTAAAAAGATCTCAGCAGCAGGCTTTTCATAACCAACCTCTGAGGATATGACAATGGAATCAAATCTGGTAGAGAAAAAAGGATAAAATCATTTAAATTTAACTACCAATAATACAATCTACATAACAAAAAAAAATATAAGAGAACAAAAGGCAATGCTTTAGTCAACCATGAAACTCATAGGCAAAATAACAAATTACCAACCGTAAGTTCCAAACACAGTAAGTTTTTCAAAGCAAGAAAGCATGATGTATAAGTCTCAAGCAGGATCCCACCTTTCAAGTATTCTTTTTTTAATTAAGGTTAATTCTAGCTAAAGAACCTTTTCCCAAAATAGAATTACTCTAAATTAAAATAATATTAATATTTCTATTGATTTGTTCAATATTTTGAACCCTTTGTTCCCATAACATTAAAATCCTATAAACATTCAAAAATCCCCCTCCCTCAAACCCCATGACTCTTTATTTCTTTAATTGATATTATTCATGCCCTTTTTTATCACTAAGTCCAATATGCTCAAAATATGTTCCATTAATCATGCTAAATCATGTAGACATTTTCCCCACTAACCATCCAATTCAATCGCATGTTGCTTACAAGAAAACACTTTTTTCTCTCTATAATTAATTTAAATCCCATGACTATCTTTCTCTCTATTCAATTAATTACAGGCCAACCCTTAATCTCCCAAGCAAGTTCCCTACTCAGTATCTAAACCAAGCTCATGTTGTATCCCCTCTCTATCCATCAATATAGCATCATTATGCCTCCCCTCTTTTGTGATCCCACATACTTCTCTGTCCCAATCTTCAAGTACTAACATTCCTTTCTCCAATATCACATCTCTCTCACACTTCTTTCTCTTTCTTTGATGGCATACCATCAAAGATTATATGTTATGCCATTGACTATTTCAAGTTATAGACATGTTCTCATAAAAGAAACACATCTCTATAGCACCAATTTATCTCTCTCCTACGATCCCACCCTTTCTCCCTTCAAATCTTTCTTGTCATAATATATCATTTCTCCTGTGGCACAATTCTCTTATTACATCCTCTCCCATAACCGTACACACATTCTCAAAATTTAAGAAAGCAACAATTATTAAGTTTAATTCTTAATTATAAATGAATTTGCCACAAAAATTGGTGACCGTGAATCCTTCATTTTTATCTAGAGAAGATAAAGCTAACCAAAATTTTAAATCGCTTTAATTTGAATGGTGGGGGTTACCATTCCATTAGCTTAAATACCATATCGATTTAGAATTATTTGTCATTTTGTGTATACTTTTGAACTAATATCTGCAATTTTGATGATTTAGAGATGATCATAGTGCAACATAATTCCAATTTATGTTTCTAATGTCCTACTTTGAAAAAAAAAAGTTTTGATTCATATATGCCTTACCTTTGCATTTACTATAGAACATCATATTACAGTGTATTTGTTATTAAAATCAGCCAAATAATCTCATCATTTACTATGCCTTGAATTACAACAAGAAGTTTTTCAGGTAAACTTGTAACATAACTGTTGTTAGGATGTTGTTATTGCATTAATGCATCTTTTGAAAACTTTATAGTGATGGCATTAGGAATTTAGTTTAATGTAGTTCAGCTAAATTCATTTATAATGATATGGCATTGCACCTTGCACTGTATATAGGCATCACATTTCCTAAAATCTTATGGTATATGGTTATATGAGAATTTATGGGTTTTTCATACTTTGCTGTATAGATATGTAGCCCATTGTGATGAGATTTGGATGCATTTACATTTATCGAAGATTAAAATATTTTGTGTCATTTGATTTGTAGGAGTCTAAGTAGTTAGTCTCTTTGTTTATATGATTAGATTACTTATCAGGCTTTTTTCTAATAGACGCTTGCGAAGCGCACATCGTTGTTAAACAGGAATAATTAAATAAGTAAATGACCAAATTGGTCCATAGACATTTTAAGTGTGCCCATTTTAGTCCTAAATTATACAAGTGCCCAATTTAATCCTTCAACTCATCAAATTTAAACCAATTTAGTCCTTCTGTCAACTTTACCAATTGCTTTGCATGAAAATTGAAAATAGGTGGCAAGAAAATTTCTCTACTAAAATTTGATAAAAAAGGTGTGTTGGATTGTAATAATACTGCATTTATAGTTAATCAAATTAAATTTGATGGTCTAACATTTATTTAGATAGAAGATAATTAGCATAGGATATTCTCTCTAAAATTCTATATAAAGTACGCTCATTATTTTATTTACAATCTGTAATTAGTCTTTTATATTATGATTAAAGAATATTTTGATATTCAAAAATCAAGACAAGCTTATGCAATAAGTTTTAGTAAAATAAAACGCTTTATTAAAATAATTGTCCTAAGTCGTAAATACTTTCAAGTGGACAAGTATTAATCAGAATTTAATAAAATATATATTTAAATATAAAAATTTATCAAAATATATTAAACGCTAAATATAAAGATAATAAAGAAAAAAATACAAATAAAATGTGATTTGTATTTCGTCATTTATGGGACTATCTTAAACACTTCACAAAATCTACGAATAAAATGAACACAATTAAAAATCTACGATATTAAGTGATTCAATATTTCATTTTGTTGCATTCGCTGCAGATTGTGTTTGGAAGTTCCACAACCCCAATGAAGAAAAGAAAAAATAAATATTAAGACCTCATAAATGAAAAACAATAGCAAAAGAATCTAGGTTATTGTGATTATTTTTAATATATAGGCATAAATGACCAAGTAAATGTGTAGAGTAAGGTAAATAAGAATTATTTCACACCATCAGACTGGTAAGTAGCTTGGCTTGTGAAAGGGCTAAGAATATGAAAACCAAAATTATTTGCTTACAATTGTGCAACGCTAAGGTCGCTCAGTAGCTTGCGCAATCTATTATCAAAGTTGGAGACCACAGCCAACTTCACTGCAATAGAAATATCATTAAAATGTTACAAATTATAAATGTGCTCTCATAAAAACAAGATTTTGAGCAAAATAGAGTACTTTCATAGTTCACTTTACCTCCAGCATCTTTTAGAAGGCATATTCCTTCATAAGCTCCTGCTGGTAATCTCCATGCATCACCATGTGCATAATGCTGACAGAGGACAGGAAAAAATAAACAAAATTGTGTGTCAAAATCAAGACTGTAATTTCTCTTCACAGTTACCCCACAAAAAAATTAAAAATATAAGCTTCCCATATTTTAAATTTTAAAAAGTGAAATACACCGTTTCATATATAGGTAAGGTGGGTATGTATGTCAACCTTCTAAATTAAAATTTAGGTGTAAGACATGTAGATATGTAGGTGTATGCTCAAGAATGGCAGCAAGAATATCAAAGCAGCCCACAATCTGCCCCACACTGAATTGGCTACCCTCTGCCGACTTTTCAACCCCGGCAGACGACTCCAATGGAGGACTTTTTCCTCCGAACGGAGGAGTCTGACAGAGGGCTTTTTCCTCCAAATGGACACCGGAATCCTACAAATCCCCCGACAGAAAAATTTCAGAACGACAGATCCAACGGTCGATGAGGTACGCAACAGAAGACACCAATTTAAAAGACTAAAATATCTTGTATTGTCTTTTTTTTAAACAAGGGTAATAATGTAATCTACTTGTTGGTCATTCTATCATCTATAAATAAGATTCTTCTCATCTAAAGGGACCTTTTGGCTTCCCCCACTAGTAACCTCTGTTTTTAATGGAATAAAATGGATTCACGAGCCCGGGAACACCCCCTTTTCCCCCGACGGTGGAAGACTTCCTCTTCTCCTTTCTCTCTCTTTCCTTGGTCCAACGCTTTATTCTTTGGGCATGGTCTACCAGACAGATTTGGATTCAACAGTAGGAATTGAGTGGTATGTATGTAAATCTTTATAAGAAGTAGCATACATATGGAAAACATTAAAAAAGAATCTCAAAGAAGAGAATTCGAGTGCTGACCTCATATACCTCCTCAAAAAAATCATTATCAGAACAACCGGTCGCTTCAGAAACAACAAATTTCCAAAAAGCTCTTCCATCTCCCTGCAAATCTTGTTTTAGGACAAACATAAAGGAAACAAAGCGCAAACATTCAATCTTGAAATTACTAAATTCTGATATAAGAACTCTACTCACTATTCTGTATTATGACCTTAAAAATCTACACTTCTAAACATTAACACCATTATTTCACAGCGATTAAGCATAACCGTAAGCTTTGGATAGAAAATACCTGGTACCGTAGCTTCTCAGGCCAATGTGCAGCAAAAGCCCTCTTGAATCCTCGCTTTATCTCACTCTCCGTGACCTCAATTCCTGTAAAATATATCTATATTACCCAATTTCAAACGTTGACGACCATTATACCATCTAAACTAAATCTAAATGATAAAAAGAACATCTCGTCACAACATATTACCAAATTTATTTCCTATTGTGGCATAGATCTCCTCAACAGGCCTTGCCAGTTGCAGCAGCGTGCCGCCGGCGTCCAATAGCAAGCCGTCGTACGCCCTGCGATGTGGCCTATCACCGATAGCTGCAGAGAAGGTGGCGATCATTAGATTTCTCTCTATCTGTCTCACTGGCGTGAGACGATGAGCGGCAGTTGAAGAGAGTGTTGGAGAAGGAGAGCTACTGAATCAAAACTGGAGAACACGAAGCTGATGAAGTTAAGGAGATGTACCAGTCGACATTGCAATCGACGCAAAAGGTAGGAGCGTCGCCGGAGAAGTACTGGTTCGGCGCTGGAGGTGGAGGTATTTCGCCGGAGAGCACTGTCGCATAACCCGGCAAACTTCCATTGACAGCCACCGTGTTAAGGTTCCCATTTTTTAGTAGAATTTTATTTTTAAAATATTTGAAACAATGTTTTGGAAAAAACAAAATATTTATTCCAAATAAAATATTTATTCAGCATTGCTGTTTTTTTAAATAATTTGAAAGAATTTAATTTTTTATTTCAAAATAAATCAAAATGAAATGAGTTATATTGGATTTTTTTTTATTTTAAATGAAATTATATATGGCACCCAATATATTTATTTAAGAAAATTATCCAGATTTATTTAATTTTTAGGAGCGTTTAAATACAAAGTATACATTAGATTTGGAGTTATTACTTTGAAATGCATGAGTTATTGGAGTACCAAGGCTGATTCCCAATCATAAAATAAGAGTAATATCATAAAGGGCTATTACTAACTACTTCTAACAAAATTAATTAAAGAAATAGAAGAAAAACCACCGTTCAAAAATTCTTCGAGTAATTATTAGCACCCGCTTCATGTTGTAATATAAAAGAAAACAAAGAACAAATATTACATTCGGACTCTCGACTTAATTTGTGTCCAGAGTCCACGTGTCAAGTGGACCCACCACAATACATTGTGATTGGTCAGTGTTAAAATTTGTGAGGCTCACTTGACACGTGGTGTGTCACTTTTGGACTTTGGATGCATCCGAAGTCCCGATCTAATATTTTTTTCTTTAGATTGAAGGTTGCATGGGACAAAACATGGATCTGGATGAGATGTTTTTATTGGGCCGCTTTGCCCACAATATAAGGTTGTAAGCCATGTACAATATAGTTTTGCTGATTTTTTTTTTTAATCCCATGACAATAAATCTTGGCCAAGTTGATGATCCTTGACCAAACGAAACCATCAAGTTTAAATTATTCTATTAAAGTTTAAAGTGATTAAGCAAAGCAAGTAATTACCATTCACACTTTTCAATGGATGTAGTTCTCATCCTAAATAAAATTTGGGCACTCTAATGAATATATCATCTCTTCTTAATCCAATGGGCAGATTGATCAGAAGGGCAAGGTTGTGAAATCATGCATTTTGGGAAACTTGTAGATACAAAAGTAATCATTGTCTCAATTGAATTTAGGCATTCTCATGGGTGTGAGCCCTAATTTCAACCAAAATCAAGTTGGCATTAGAAAACCACCAAGCTTGTTAAATTAAAATTAAACAAATGGACCACATTGTTATATATGTTATGGTCATAAAATATAACCTTTTAGATGAATCAAAAATTAAACTGTAAGCTCTATCAAAATTAAATTTATGCTTTCCAATGGATAGTCCCAACACAATTAATGTGAGCCTTCTAAAGGATAAAAGTTCTAACTTCAATTATGTTAAGGTTAACTTCCATACTAATAAATCCGCCAATTAAACCCCACTTAAATCTGCTATAACTTACTCCCCAGTCTGGGTCGAGGGACCTTCTAGCACCTAGTCGTTCCAGACAACCTCCTATGCAAAAGTTTTGCTTGGCTTAGTCCATTGAATGAGTATGAGGACTCCTCGTGGGACATATAGAATGATGTAGTTATTTTTGCAATTGAATTTAGATGTAGAGCCCCTATTAGAGATGACTTGAGATATTGCATTGTTATGCATTCGTTTTAAAATCGGCACAAAGGTCATGCAGAAAAGTAAATTCATAAAGTAAATTGCTGTTTTAGAATTATAATATTTTAATCACAAATTTTAATTTTATCTTAAATATTTTATTATTAGAACTTTTTTTTAAAAAAAGGACATTTTTTGTCCTTAAAGAGCCTAGATTTCATTTCGGTAGAGCACAGACAATCCACAAGCCAAGAAAGCGAAAATTCAAGCACGTTGCACGAATATTTTATTATTAGAACTTTTTTCTAAAAAAAAGGACATTTTTGGTCCTTAAAGAGCCTAGATTTCATTTCGATAGAGCACAGACAATCTACAAGCCAAGAAAGCGAAAATTCAAGCACGTTGCACAATTATAAATCAAGCCAAACAAATATATATAAAGGCCGATGTTACTCGGTTGACAAAATATTCCAGGAATGCTTGAAAAGCGACCTAATTTTATACATGAAAGTAAATTCAGAATTTAGGGTACAGGACACGAGCTTCTGCTTCTGGTCCCCGTTATATGGTTCGGTGCACCATGTGCCTTGGAATTCATGTCTGTGCCTTATTTTCTCCACACACAAACTCCCCCACACTCTTGCACACACTAGCACTCCCTAGCACACGCACTTGCACACCTTTTTCATTTGGACTTCATCCCTATTTGTAAAGCTCTAAAAATAATTAAGGGTTGCTTCAGACATCTCTTTAAAATTCGGCTAAATTCATTAAATAAAAGGGGTAACCGTTTTTAGCGCCTAGGCGTCAGTCAAGTATGGACTCTAGCGCTTATGCGTCAGAAGTGGCGCTTAGACGCCAGAAGTGGCACTTAGGCACCACTGCTTCATAACTCTATTTTGCATCCATTTCCACTTCTTTTCCAGTAAACTCCATTTTGCTGCACTTGAAATCAAAAAAAAGGCAAAATACATTTTATTAAAGTGCAATGTCATCAAAAATAAACATGAAATGTATATATAAAATATGTAATTTTAAGGCATGTCATCTACCTTTTGTCTTTCTTAACAAAATTGGAATCTAAAACATCTGCTCTGCTAATCAGATCATCATATGGTAAACTTATAATGCGACCAAACCATTAAAGACGACCCTCTCTAATTTTTTTTTCGTCACTGGAGCTACACCAACCCTATCACAAATATATTCATTTCACATTTTCTCTCTAAGTGTAAAACCACTCAACCACTCATCCACCTAATCATCTAATCATTCTCACCTCAACAACACTTAACTTAGTATTAAGCTTCTCTTTTAAAGGCCGACATTTAGCGTCATAGAGCATTGCAGATCTCACCACAATCTTATCATGGATAGTTCGACACATTATTAAGCTTCTATTTTTAAGGCCGACATTTCACATTTTCCTTTCAGTCTAAGCGGTAATTTTCTATCACACAAAAGGCTCGAAGTATTCCTCCACTTCAACCGACCAACTTGAATTCTATTATTAACATCTCTATCTATATCACCATTGCTTTGAACAACAGACCCGAGATATCTAATTTGTCCCTATCTTTTAATAATTTTATCACCCAAAGTTACACTTCTGTCACTAGAGCTACTACTACTATGATTACATTCCATATATTTAATTTTAGTTCTACTCAAATGAAGTCCTTTAGACTCCAATGTAGGCTTCCATAATTTAGGTTTTTCTTGAGCTTTTTCTCTCGTCTTATCCATGAAAAGGACATCATCAACACAAAGCATACACCAAGGTACATCCTCCTATAAATGTCCAGTAAGACCATCCATAAGTAAAGTAGAAAGATATGGGCTTAAAGCCGATCCCCACCGTAATCCAACAAAAATAGAAAAAAATATTTGGTCAATCCTCCTTCAGTTCGAATACGAGGAGCCCCATACTTTGTCGTTAAATGATCAAAAATATTTTAAACAACATTTTATAATATTAACTGATGAATTTTGGCTATCGAAAATAGACTAAATTCTTGTTGTGGTTGGGAGTTGTATGAGTTATGATAATGTCTGTAGAACATAGAGGCCAGAGTTGGGAGTTGAATGAGTTGTGTCTGTAGGCCACAGAGGCCGGAGTTGAGAGCTATGTGAGTTATGATATGTTCATAAGCCACAATATATAATTGGGAGATGCATGAGCTGTGAAAATATCCAACAGTCGTAGAGGCAAGAGTTAGGAGTTATGTGAGTTGTGATAACATTTGTAGGTCATAGGGGTTAGAGTTGGAAGCTGTGTGTGCTCTAATATGTTGTAAGTAGTTATGATAGTGTGTGTTGTTTCAAAATCTTTGGAAGACAACATTACAACATTTGCAGAATGTGTCGTTGTATTATATTTGAGGTACGCTATCTCACTGTCTTTAGGGTGCTTCACTACAATTTCTTCAGTGTGCGTTGTTACATTGTATGCAGAATGTGCATTGCAACACCTTCAAGGTGCATTACTCCATAAAATGCTTCATTATTCCACAACAATGGTCGCTACTTTGCATAGTGCATCGTTACCCTCAACATTGATAAATATTCAACAAGATGCTTTGTTAAATTACAACACACATTGAGATTTTATAGTGTGTGTCTTAATTCCGCAAGGGGCTTCGTTGCAATGAAAAAGGGGTGACCAACGGTGGTTGATTGTGGCTAGAGAGTAGTAATCGACAGTGGTCAGCAACGACAAGAGCGAAAAACGTTTGTTGGATCTTCGATGTATAATGTGGACTTCAACCGTTCTCCAAGTCTTGGGTTACCTCTGGTTCAATATCTTGCTCCTCTTTCATGAAAAGTGAAGCCTCCCGACAAACAGGGAAAGAATCTGGACCACTTCATTGCACGACCCAAATAGAACCCCCTTGATCGGACTATGTTCTACGAATGGAGGGCTTTAAAGATGCTACAACTGAGTGATTTTAGGCCAGTTAGACACATCTTGTCGAGACACTCTATTTGATCATATGCTTGTCAAATTTGAAATCTATTTACCCTTCTAATTGGACACAAGAAGCTTACAAAAATGAATTAACGGCTTCATCTGCGAATGATATGACAAATTAGACCAACTTTGGTGTCATTATATTTTTTTCATCGAGTCAGTCAGTTTAATTATATGCTTGCCAAAATTTTGAGTTCATGATAATTTTTAATTAAGTCCGAGCATTCTCTGCTAAAAAAACTATCTCCAGATGTATATCACATTTTAATATCTATGTCAAATGATAACAATTTATTGATATTGTATCGAATAATAAAAAACATCAAGTGACCCCGCACAAACCTCTAGGTAGGATCTTCACATCAAATTTATGTGCCTCCTTATAGGGGTGTAAACGAGCCGAACACGAGCGAGCCATGCTCAGCTCTTGTTCGGCTCGGTTGTTT